CAATTCCAGCAAGAAAGCTGCTGCTGCTGCTGCCGCAGCTGTTGCTAACACAACAACACCCACCACAGAGGCGCCGATAGACGCCAGCAAACTTGTGCCCACGCGGGATACTGGCATGGATGTAAAGATTAAGGAGCGCACACTGAGCCTGCGGCTACCGGGGGCAGACACTGGTGACGCCAGTCACGATGCGACGCTGCCGAAGAGCTCCTCCATTAGCTCGCTGCACCAACTGAAAATGCCAGTGCCGGGCGTGGTGAAATATTTCATCAGCGACCGGGCTCCCACAACTGGTCCGCTGCCGAGCTCGGAGCGTGGTCCCAGCGGCCTGTTGCGGTTTTTTGAATCGCCCGTATTCAATATTCATTTTGCTGTGCATTATTTATTCTACTCGAAGGAGCCTGGTGTGCTGAGTTTCATTGGCAATAAGATCTTCAGCTTTCTGGACCAAGAAGTGGATCTCTATATACCACAGCTGATATTAATGTATATTCAAATGGATGAACTGGCCGAAGTGCTGGATCCCTATCTTACCATTCGCTGTCGCAAGTCCGTGGACTTCTCCCTCAAGTGCCTGTGGCTATTGGAGGCGTACAACTATCAGGTGGACTCGCTGGGCAATGGCAGCAACAGCCGTAAGTCCAAGCTGGCGCTCATGAAGGAGATATTTCCCAAAAAGGAGAACAAGCAGCAAACCAAACCTGATGATGGCCAAGGTCAAGCTGTTGCGCTCGTCAAGAAAACCCATCACCGCTCCCAGTCTGATGCCACAGTGTTGCTCGCCGACTCCCGCAGCCCACACACGCTCAGCATAACGCATCGGATGTACCAGCAGCCGCCGTACACCACACAAACGCTGCCCACAACAGCCGCCAAACTGTTTCTCGGCGATCTAAGTTCGGGTCTTGCCTTCGATAATGGGTGCACCTGCTTTGAGACGGTGCGTGGACAGGTGAATGGTCTTCTGGGGCAGCGTACGCTATGCAATTGCGGCGCGCCAAAGACAGCGCCGCAGAAAGAATTCATGAAGGCGCTTATGAATGTGGGCAAGAATCTGATCTCGTTGCCCTCGAAGGCAGAGAAGACTTCGGCACTGCGCATGTTTCTAAATCTGATCAATAAAAATTTGCCCGCTCGTGTCTGGCTGCCGCTCTACTCGGATATTCCGCATCACGTGGTGCGCATCACAGAGGAGAAGACTGCTGTGCTCAACTCCAAGGACAAAACGCCGTACATCATCTATGTGGAGGTGGTGGAAGTTCCAGATATTTACACATCGACGCTTATACCTAAAATGATGCCATCGCTGCGACACACCAAAAGTGAGGAGCACTTAGAGGGCGCCTGTCTGAATACACATCAGAGCTGCAGCCGGACCTCCAGCTGTAGCAGCACTCATCATGGATCCAGTTGCCGCCGTAAAAAGGACACTGAATCGCATGCGGAGGGGGGTGGCTGTGGCGAGCCGGGCACATACAATTGCTGCAGTTGCAATAACAGCCATCATCTGCAATCACTGGGCGGGCTGCAGCTAAATGAGGATGATGTCTGGTCGCAGGAGGATGACCAGATCACCGCGCAGTACTTGTATATGCGCAAGATCAGCGAAAGGGACGCCATATCACAGATGTCAATGGACTCGTGCGACTCCAGAGATCAGGGTAAATGTGAAATATTAATCCTTGGCGGCCTAGTTAAGATTAACAAATCTACCTACACAGGTCCACCAATTGTCTTCAACATTGGTGATGTGCGCACGCGACACTGCAACAATTTGAGCTGCGAGAATACAAAATCCTTTAGCAATGATCCAGAGGATCCATCGGCGGCAGCTCTAAAGGTTAGTGCACCCGAATAGTATGCATTTCAGAGGCTCTAATATTTCGTATCCTTTGAAGGAGCCCTGGCATGAAAAGGAGAAACTCATTCGCGAATCCTCGCCCTATGGCCATTTATCAAACTGGCGCCTGTTGTCGGCCATTGTCAAATGTGGAGATGATTTACGGCAAGAACTGATGGCTACGCAGCTATTGCAGGTAAGTGAACTAAACTATGCGTTAACAATGATTAGTCTTTAAATTGTTGTTTTTTTTTTTGGTTCATTTAAAGATGTTTAAGATTATTTGGGAGGAAGAGCATGTGGATTTGTGGGTACGGCCATATAAGATAATCTGCCTGTCGAATGACAGTGGTCTGATTGAGCCTATACTGAACACCGTTTCGTTGCATCAAATCAAAAAGAACTCAAACAAATCTTTGCGAGATTACTTTATTGACGAATATGGAGCACCAACAGGCGACAGTTTTCGTCAAGCCCAAAAGAATTTTGTGCAGAGTTGTGCGGCGTATTGTCTGATTTCCTACCTGCTTCAGGTTAAGGATAGGTAAGTGTTGAGATGTGGAATGTGCTTATGTGGAAGTTATTTGTACATACCGATTTGCCTTTTGCACTCCATAGGCATAATGGCAACATACTCTTTCATTCGGATGGTCATATAATACACATAGACTTCGGCTTTATTCTAAGCATATCTCCCAAAAATTTGGGTAAGTATTGAAAATAATATTAATTGCATATGATAATATTAATTTTATTCTGGCTCTTGCAGGTTTCGAGCAATCACCCTTTAAGCTTACACATGAATTTGTCGATGTTATGGGCGGAACTGGATCCGTACATTGGCGAGAATTTAATCGTCTGCTTCTCGTCGGCATGATGTCTTCGCGCAAGCATATGGATCGCATAATCAACTTTGTGGAAATCATGCGCAGTAGTATGTAGGAATGAAAATAATATTGGAAACATTTTTAAGAAATTTGTTTTGTGATTTCCCTTTTAGATGCACAATTGCCGTGCTTTAAGAATGGCTGTTCCGGCACAGTACAGAATCTCCGAAAACGCTTTCACATGAATTTAACTGAACAGGAAATGGAACGCAAGGTGGAACAGCTTGTACAGGACTCACTGAAGAGCCTATCGACCAAACTGTACGATGGCTATCAATATTATACGAATGGCATATTGTGAGAACGGTTTTTTATGAAAATCTAAGCGAACGGATTGATTAATCATCTTGTGTGCTAAAATGCCGATCTGATAAACCAAAAGAGTATGTTTAAAGAAAAATTTTATATATATGTATATAAAACGAAATCAAAACAATAACTGTTATTGTAGCCAGAATCGTTGATTATGCGTTGTGGCAATGTTATTATTCTATTATATTATGTTAGGCCAAAGTGAATGTTGTCTAGCTTTTAAGTAAAAGTGTAAATGCCTTTGACTGTATTTGTCTGTCTGTCTTGTCTCGGTCTTGCATTGCATTTCATTAAGCAAACATAATAATCATCGACTTGTATATATATATAAGAACCTATGACTGTAATTAGAAAATACCGCTAAGTCGTCACGTATTCATTCATATTCATTTTATAAGAAATTATTGCATATGCTAAACATTAATCATTAATTCACTCAGCTATTCACAAAACTAGATGCAAAACAAATTTACTATTCGAATGTCTGAACGATTAAAATGAAATTCCAACATTTATAGGGTTTTTTATTAATAACTAAAGCAACTAAAATACTTTCCAACAATACAGACTCATATTTATTTATAAAATGCCGATAATCATATTGATCAGATATGCCGCAAATATGATTATTCGTAGATATGGGAATTACATTAAAATATCTGTTCGCTTTCGCCCCCCAAAGTCCCCATATTTGTATTTGTACGGATATATACATATATATATATATTACTATATTTATATAGCCAAACATTTTTCTTACTTTATAGTAACTAAGCTATCAAAATACTGGCAAAAATCAAATTAAATTCAAATGAACATAAAATAATAGTTAGACACTTAAAGTGTTAATTTCAATCAAAAGTACTCATATGTTCGGCTTAAACATAAAACAAATTACGTGTATGATAATTATAATTATCTAAAAGTAAACTGCAAATTTAGCTAAAAATATTATAAAATAAAGGTTGCATTTTTCTACAATTAATTTAATAAACTCGATCGTCAAGATATTTCATTTCTGTGATCGCTTGCAAATTATAATGCTTCGCAAATTAAATGGATTAAAGTTGATTTCAGTTTGCTTCATTATTAATATAGGAGTCCTATGTTTTTGCGAAAAAACATAAATTAAAATTACTGAAATACTCTTTTTGAAAAGTGTTTGAAATAATTAAAACAACGATAAAAATTCGAGTTTTAGTTTTAAATATCTTCTTTGAACCGCGTATTTTAGCGGTTGTAATTTCGAGATGTTCTAATTTCTAAGCGACCACTGTACTGAATATAAAAATCATTTAAAATTTCCAAATTAAATTATAAAATTATTAATAAACATGAAAGTACCCAAATAGATAACGTGTTTTATAAATTATTATTATCATTACATCATAAACTGAACTCATTTTTTAAGAAATATTAATAGGCAAAATACTTATTGGTTAGAAATTCAAGTACCTGCCGCTTTCTGGGAATTTCAGGATTTACCCGACCGATAATAGAGATATTTGAGAAATTGTTCATGTTACCCGAAGATTCTTTGACTGCAAAAGTATATATTAAAAAGTACTTCCAAAAAAAGAAAGTACTAAAACATCGCAGTCGGAACATTTACGGTGTAATAAAAATTTAAACAGGTAGTATGGTTTTTTTAGGAACTTGTTTTAGTAAGCTTTACTCCTGTATTATATTATATTCTATTGTCACAAAACACCGCCAAGAAGGGGACTACTTCGACACATAAAATAGAATACCTGATCAGTAAGTCATTAACGGTCAGACGGATGGTACAACTAGAATAATATCTGCCTAATGAATGATCGGTTCGTAAATAGGGCAATATTAAATCAAAACTTTATCCCGTCCACGAACGATTCAAGTCGTAACTTAAGCATAGGCGGTCATAAGGGCTTATCTCCTGCTACTCATAGGCTATGTTTTAAAACAAACCCTATATTGAAAATTTAATTTTTAGAAAACGCTTGTCAAAATCTGTTTATAAATTCCTGGGTAAAATTATGTAATATAAAATTCTTAACGCGTACGCACAATCGCATTAATTGACTTTAATTGGCCGACGAGACATGAGTAACTGATGCACATGAACTAGCCCTACAACAACCAGCTGTTATCCCATTTACGCGGAAGTGCTGCACAGCCTTAAAGTGGCTGCTCCGCAAGAGCTGGATTTGGAGCGGGAAACTTCAAACGAGACATTTTCAAATTGGGAATTGGGAACCTGGAGACGTGGATGCGTTAGAAGGGAGCATGCTAGTCTTATAGAATACTCGATTCTAAAAGCCAAAAGCCACAGCTTTTATGCGCATTACTCACAGTCGTTTAATAGATTGTCTAGGTCAATGTGAAAATGGTAACACCAAGAGAATTGACCAACACCAAGGCTACCACGACAATGAAGAATCAGGAAAACATCACACCCAAAATCATCGAGCCATCTCTATCTTTGGGCCATTCGTGCTGCCAACAGGACGATTACGATGCATTACGACACGCTGCTACACGTGAGCTGCTTGAAACGGAAATGAATTACGTGAAGCTACTGTCTGCCATTTGCAACGGGTGAGTCATCAGTTGCAGTCTCCAAGCAAATAACCATTACACTTCTATCTCTAGATATTTACCTGCCATGAGCAAACGCCTCGATATCTTTACTGTCAGCAGCATACGGATCATATTTTCAAATATAACGGCAATATACAAATTTCACCGAAAGTTTTTGGAAGCGTTGCGCCAAGGCATTGAGCAAAACCAAATATCGAAAGTGTTTTTAAAGATGGTGAGTGTGTGCCGTTTGAAAATAATTGTTTTTTTTTTCTATTTACGCGAAATTCTTGCAAATAGCATAAAGGATTTCTATGCTATTCAACATACTGCAATGATTATTCACGTGCTCTTGTCGAGCTCGAACCCTACGAACGCATTGAGGAAGCCCGCACAATTCTGGAGAAGTGAGTTTTTGCCCATTTCAATCTGAGCTGCAAAACGCATTAATCAATTATTAATCAATAATTTTCAAAGCTGCCGCGAATCCGATAACCTGGCTGAACTACCGCTATCTGCGCATCTGCTAGCGCCAGTGCAGCGCATCTGTCGCTATCCTCTGCACCTCAACGAACTACTTAGCAATACTTTGCAGAATAACAGGAACAAGCTTGGTGTCCAAACTGATATTTTAGACTATGAACATATTGATGTGTTCCAGTTTGATATTCCTGATACGCACTCCACCGTTAAAATGGCGCTTAAGAAGATGCGCGGTATCACTGAAGCTGTAAACGAGGGTAGACGCCAAAGCGAGATTCTTGCACGGCTTCAGGGCAGTTTCCAGAGCTTTAAAGGACCCATGCTGAACCTGCACAGCACGCGTTTCTTTTTACAAGGGGACGCCATGCGGCAAAAGCAGAACATGTGGAGCAGCAGTTGCACCTTGTTCCTATTTGATAACCAGCTGATATACTGCAAGCGGGATATCATCAAGCGCAGCCATTTCATCTATAGGGGTCGCATCATTTTGGATCGATGTCGCATCGTGAATATGCAGGATGGAAACATGTTTGGTCCCACGGTCAAGAACATGCTTCGCTTCTATTGCCAGTCACGAGAGAAGTGGTACGACTTTAGCTTTCGCTCCGCCATCCGTAAACATGTCTTTCTCCATGCGCTTGCCCTGGAGCGACAGTTTTGTGGCAAGACTCTGGACGTTTCCGAGATGACAGGATTTGAGTTCAATGAGTTCGAGGAGGAACGGCCAGGCGACTTCTCTGACCAATCGGACTACGAGTTCGCAGACTGTGAGCACACAATGGGCAGCTTATCCTCCAGTGGTGACAGTTCAGGAGCGGAGTTCACGGTCAAGTCAACGTATCGCCCTTGCGCACAGTGGAACGAAGATATTGCCAGTACCAGCCATGGGTCTGGGCAGATGCTTATGTCAACTTCAGCCTGGTCGTTGAGCCTTCGCCGTCTAAGTAACTGGTTTCGCAAGTTAAAAAGCTTCAACGGGACGTCGAACTCGTTGCCAACTCACAAGCCAGATTTTGATGCAGATTCTAACTCAACGACAATCGGTTCCGCGCAAATTGAGACTGGCAGCTCGTTTGCTTAATTAATCTTTTGAATCATTATTATTTATAATCAAATAAAATATAAATCGCTAAATATATGGGTATGCCGGTATGTAGAAAATGCAAGACAAAATATATTTTTACATTAGATGTTTTTTATACAAAAAAAAAATGCAGTTATTGGTCGTTCACCCATCGAACAACAGTAAACCCACAAAAGTCCGCTAACGAGTGTTTCCTTCTGCCTAACTCTTAACATGACCATCAATCCTTAACATTGCTGTAAGTAAATATCTGAAGAGTTGATATTGGAATATATCGATACTTTTTATGATTATCGGTAACGGAATACCAAGTAAGCTTAGTGGAGGACGCTATGTTAAGTAAGAGGGTGCCAATTTATGTGGCCAGAGAACACTGCTAAAAATAGAGGACGCTGTAAACATCGATATTCATATCGATAGAAGATCAACAAATGGATGATCGTATTCTCCCATTCTTGCACCTAATACAGATGATCAATATAAATTGTTAGCATTTGTTGTACTTTACCAATAATTTTGACAACTTGTAATGTTATTTAAACGTCGCATGTGTTGTTGAAAGTGTGTTTGCTAGCTAAAATGCACAGCGCTGTTGGAGCCACGGGAAACAGCAAAGTTGTGGCCACATTGCGCGCTGATGGCAGTGTGGCAATGGAGGCGCAATCCGTCAACCAGCAGCTATCCAATTTACTAAAAAAATATAAAATTGTAAGTAATGAAGCATATTCTAAAGTTTTCCAACTATAAAGTAAACACCGCAGCGTACTGAGGGTGAGCTTCTATTGAAGAAGGGCAACGCGCCTGGGCCAACAACAGTCGTTGATTTGGGAAAGCAACTTTTACAATGTGCTCGAGACAGCGATGTTCCTGGCGTGAAGACTGCGCTTGCTCATGGCGCTCCGTTTTCATCAGACTGGGTGAGTCAAAAACATAATACTTTAATCTTATACCTGTAATTACAACATTCAAATTTTAGCTGGGTATGTCGGCGCTTCACTTCGCTGCGATGAACAATCAGCTGGAAATCTGCGAAATTCTCTTGCAAGGCGGCATCAATATGGAGGCAAAGACAAAAGTGGACCGAACGCCACTCCACTTAGCTTGCTATTTCGGACACGAGCGAATTGTAAGCCTATTTCTGGCGCTGCGGTGTGCCGTGAATGCACGTGATATGGTGAGAGCCAGCTAATTACGGCCTGGACTGGCTTTTGAACTGAGTTATTCTTTTTGCACAGCTTCGCATGACACCGCTGCACTGGGCTGTGGAGAAGAGGCACAAGAGTATTGTACGCATGCTGCTGAAAAGTCAGGCAGACGTAACACTAGTCTCAAAGTTTGGCAAAACCCCCATCGCCTTAGCCGTGCTAACTGAACAGGCAGATATTTTGGCGGAGCTGGAAGCTGCTCGCCAGTCTCAGGCTAACCGAAAATTCAACGAGGAGACAGAGGTAAGTACCTTAGCGACTCACTTTTATTAAGAATCCAGTGATTTTAAATACTTTAAAAATCAACAAAGTTTGAATCGAAATAAAATGTCCTTTTGTTTCGTTCTTATTATTCCCGACTGCAAACCATAGCAAAAGATGCGCTGTATAAAAGTATGTGTCATATTATAACGTAATGAATTATAATCGAATCACAACTATGTCATCTTTATTTTTCAAAACATCCAATTCTATTCAAAATAATTTTTTCATAATTTCTAGAAAGAAACCAGCGATGCAGTTAATTCTATTATGGATGAGTCTAAGTCAATACGAAGTCTTGACGACGCCGACATGTCGGTCGAGGACAAGATGGATGTTTTAGAGACGTTACGTGGGCGTAAGTTTGTTTTTCTTTCCCTAATATCACAAGTAAAAAAAAAACATTTCTTCTAATAGACACAAACATGCTGGGAAATTCTGCTTTAAATATGCTCAAGACGCATGGTATTGCAGACATGATGGAGGACAATCAAATAGGTAGTATATTTTCCATTTCAAGGAAGTATATCTTTTCGTAAATTGATCGATATTCTAGACGACGAAGCATCGAAAAAGATGCTAAACACTGCTCTTCGAAATGGTCGACAGCTGGTGCTCTCAGAGGGTGGACGTATGCTGCTGCACGAAACGAACCGTGGTTCAAATATGAAACAAAGTACAAACGGATCTATTAACAATAACTTAAGAAACAACGCAATCAGTTTGCATCCCAGTACAAATCAAGCTATCCACAATTCTTCTCCTCAAAAAATACGCATGAATGTCATCAAGCAAAAGGAGTCATCGTCAGCCAGTCCAGCAGGTGGTGTTACAAAAAACAAGGTTAGAAACATAAAGTTTTCAGTTCTTAAATTAACTCTTGCAGTCCTCAAAATATATGTATATATAGTGACCCGGCCTCATTTAATTGTTTGTAGCTATATCGAATAGTAATTTTTATATCAATGTTAAAAACAATTTTTCTTTTTCTTCTATTAACAGAACATAAGAATTATATCGTTGACCGACTTTAAGAAACTTTGCGATCAGCCAAAATCTCTACAGAAAATACCTGCAACATTAGCAAGGTAAGTTTTTGTGTGTTTTTATATGATTATATTTACTTTAATATATATTGTCTAGCTCTGGAGTGGTACGCCAACTTGCCGATGGTACCAAATTGGTTAACATGCGACAGTTACAGGCTCGTCAGGTGAGTTGTCGTCTTTCCATTGACAATATATTTTATGACAAAAGTTTTTATATTTAGCTGAAATTACCATCCAGACCTATTGACAGCGGCGCTATTGATGAGCAGCAGCAGTTGCTGAACGAAGTCATAGCCTCAACGGTGACACACAATCCCGCAGCGACGAGCACACTGCGTGGGCAAGTAGGGACCGTACAAACCATTCAATTGCGCCCATCCTTAGCAGCCGGAACTGCTGTCGGAGCCACCAACAATGGAGCTGTTATTAAGTCTTCAGCCACTGCACCCATGCGTTCGAATTTACGCACTGGCAATGAGTTCAATACATCGAAGGGTCCAAACGTGATGCCATTGCCGACATCGTCAGAAATTGGTCGGCAGCTGCACGAGCTGCGGCGACATAATGAAGAGCTACGACGTCGTATGGATGTGGTGCAGAAGGAAAAGGAGGATATGCTGTTACGTATCGAACGATTGGAACAACTGGTGTTGATTCGTGATTCTGATGCAGAAATGAAATATGTTAACATTTAGTGAAGGTTTAGTTTATTATCTACTTTGTAAATATGGATAAAATTACAATAGTAAACATAGTAAGTAAGTTTCACTTTAAGAAAAAACATTTATTTTCTGTTTTGACTGCCCCTACACAATTTGACCTACAATACGCTAATTAGCAACACAAACTAATATGAATATATTGAGGTAAGCTGTAGATACACCTACATGTATGTAAGAGAAAAAAATATGTTCAAGTTTATATGTTACATATATAAAAATGTTGTACAAGGTGCACGCATTTATTAAGTGCTTTAATTATATCGATTTTAATATATGTACATATATATATATGTTCATTTTAACATTTAATAAAGTCTTGTAACAAAATAGAGCTGAACGAATGGATAGAGTTGCAGAATAAATTTGCGAAACTTTTAGCTTTTACGGCAAATGACGTCACGGGCTCACTGCCAAAATGCGCGACCTTTTCAACAAAGCGATAGTATCGATAATTAATGTTTATAAATGATGCCGATGAGTCACTGCGAAATTGAGTAACGATAGTTGTGCAGTATCGATGACAAAATATGATAATCATTTTTGTTATAGTCATGGAACTATTGATAAAGCTTCAAAGTGATGAAAGTTGTTACGTATTGACGATAGACCTATGTTCATAAATATCGTATGTTCGATTTACACCAAAAGGCTAATAACGTTTTATTCAAATCTTCGAAAATAAACACACTTTTTCGAAATTAAATTAATTTAAAACTTTCTTGTATGCATATATATATTAAGTCATATATACATAACACACATATGCCATGTAAACAATCTGTAAGAACCGTTCCCATTACAATGAAAGTTCGTATTAACATTTTCATTTCTGTTTAATTTTTAAAAATATATGCATATTTTTATTATTACAAGTATAAGTATAATAAATATGTATGCGTCTCGGTATGTGTATGTAGGTATGTATTTAAGAGGTTTGTACGTAGAGTTGAATACATGCTTGTAATTAGATAGCGACGATTCGGGAGTCCAATACGAAAACGGGTATTTTTCGAATCAGACTCGCAAAAGTCTTAAGTGTAAGTTCATTGGTGGCTAGCGTCTAGCATGGTGTGAGCTTACAACTAAAATTAAGCTGTAGTTACGCAATTTAACAATATTCGCTCACAAGCTTTATACCTTTTTTTGTTTTAATAAATATTACAAACTACTTATAATTCTGCTAAGCGAAGTCAAATATTCCGTTAACACTTAGCTAAGCACAAGGCTTCGCGGTCCCATGCGAGCCACATTAATAGGCCTAACTGATGCTTTTGCGTTATTAAACGACTTGCGTGCTCCATCTCCCAGCTCGTCATCATCATCACCGAAAAGCAGAGCAGCTAGACTCGTTTCAAAGGTTGATTTTTTTTTGATCGTTGGCCCACTTTGGTTTACAGGCGATTTCGTAGTTGTCTCTCCCTTCTTATCAATTTCAGCTGTTGAGGTTTTTGTATTGACGGGAATAAGTGTTGTTGGTGTTGTTGTTGTGATGTCCGTTGTGGTGCTGCTACCAGAAGTCGTAGCGCTAGTACTACTTATAGTCTGCGGGGGTGTTGTTTGTGATCTGACCAGCGCTAGTGCGATGGGCTTATTATTATTTTCACTTGATTCCATCTTTTCGTCGTGAGAATTTGGGTCCTTCTGTTCCGAATGCACGTAATCAGCTGGGAAAATTGGCCTGAAGCCTCCCTGTAATTGCGGCTGGAAACTGTCCAGTTCAGAATGCTTTTCAGTGCTAAAATTCGTCGCATTGCCAGGTTGTAATTGCTTCTTATCTGCAGCAACCTCAACATCGGCCCGACTTATGCTATTTTTTTCGTACAGTTTTTGTTCTGAGGCAGATGGAACAATCTTCCAGTTGCTCAGCGTAGGATTACTCGTCACGCCAGTGCTCGCCCCTCCTAAACTAATGCTTGGATAAAAAGGTGCCATAAAGTCCTTCTCGAAATTGTGGCCACGTAAATCAAAATCATTCCCTAGAATTTCCTCGGTCTGTGTTTCAGGCCTCATTTCGTATTTGACGTTCAAAATTTGTTGTTCCTGTTTCGTAGGACCGCTACGTAGGTAAGAGTTCGGCTCTGTTGGGGTATATGCAATCGCAATTGGGGCTTCTGTTCCGGTATTGAGAGCGGCCGTTATAATTCGTGGCGCGACGAGCACACCCGGGACTTGTAGGGCTGGTTGCAGCTCAGTGTATGACGGATCAGGCTTTTCAATCGGATATGGGAACTTTTGTTTGTGTAGGGGCTGTATTTTTGCCTGCTGCTGAAGGGACTGAGGCTTTTTGTTCTTCAAGATGGGCTCTTGAGGCTGTTCACGAATTACCGAGAAAGGTGTATTCTGGTATTCAACGGCAGTCAATGCCGCCGCTTCTGGATGTAGCATCGAATCTCTGTTTTCGCTGGCCATTTCCTCATTTTCACTTCGGCTCGCTAATTTAGACTTTGGATGGGAAGTTTGCTCGATTACTTTGCTGGCCAAAGCTTCTTGCGGATTATGATCGGCTGTTACTTGTATTTCACCGGCTCCAGTGTCGTCACCGTTCAGAGGTTTCTTTTGTGACTGCAGCATTTGCAGCGTAACGACTGCCTCCAGTTTGGATTCGTTCGTGTTCTGGATATCCTTGTTAGGTGTCTGAGGTGGATCATTAATTACTAGATCTTCCTCTTCATAATCGTCTAGATCGCCACCTTTCAGCTTGGATGGTTGCGGAGTAATCGGCGCGTGTCGCTCGACTGGGTAGTAGCCGTCGATCGCACGTAACGGACCGTTGGGTCGACGAGAATACATGCGATCCCGCACTTGAGGCATTCTTTGACCACCATTGGGTGGCAATCGATAGACGCGTCTATTAACGGCGCTATATTCTGATATGCGGTTTAAGGGATAACGATTCGGCAATTGTGGCTGTTGCATGGGCTGTCGTCTATTCGAAAACTGTGGAGGAGTGGAAGGGTTGTAGGGCGCTCTCATTCCTTGCGTGGGTAGACGTATATTTCCGGGCTCCTGCTTCATGTTTGGCGGATGACCAATGGAGATTTTGGCATTGGGGCGGAACTGTGGTAAAATGTTGGGCAGATTTACATTGGGACGTGGGCCCGTCTGCGGTTGAGACTGAGACTTGCGATCGAACTCTTTGTAGAAGGGCGCTGAAGGTGAATCGTTTGGCCGTTGCACCTGCGAGTGATGCAATGGAGCATATCGGGGTGGTGGTACCATCTCTTGTGAGGGCTGTTCATTTTTGCTCTGCTGTTGCGTGGGGAATGTCTGCAAAACGGAAGAAATTACATGTAAGTACATGGTTTAGGTAGCCAAGGCAACTTTAAATTTAAGATTACCAATTGTTGTTGATGCTGTTTGATGTTGACTACTTCGTGCTGTTGAATTTGAACATTTGAGCCAGTAGCTTCCTCGTCGCTGATCTTCGGAAACACCACCGGATTGGCATTTTGTATTTGCTGTAGACTCAGTGGCTGTGCATGACCATTGATATGTGGAGAGATTGGTGGACCAGGAGCAACGCCAGCAGGAGGCATATTAACTGAATCATCTTGGTTAGACGGGAACCGAATATTGGTGGAGACTAACAGCTCCTTAGTGTCTTGGCTATTAGCTACCGGTTGAACTTGGGCTGATGTTGACATTGTGGAGAGCATTGGTTGATTTTTCGGTGGGGTAGCCAAAGCCGTGGAAAAGGTATCGTCAGCTACTTTTGAAGGTTGTTTCTTCAGGCCCAAATTAGAGCCAATCAACGGCAATTGTTGATATGGAGTGGGTGCCTCTGGCGGTAGCTCTTGGTAACTACCGGGGGCAGCTGCGTTTCCTGTCAGAGGAGTCTCAGGAGCAGCAGCAGACGCGATGTTAGTGTTCGGTTGATATTTTGTATTGGAATGATAGTTGGGCCTTTGTTGATAGATGCTTGGAGGAGTTGGCTGTTGTGGCGATGGAAATTGCTGTTGGTGTTCATTGGAAGGCAGTGGACGCTTAATGTTAGCTATCTCCTCATTGATGACCTGCCCATATTGCACACTGCCGGTATCCACCGAAAAGTGTCCCTCGCTCTTCACATTACTAGAATGACTCACTTGCTGCTGACTGCCAAGCACAAAGGATGCCGACTGCTGCCCAGGAGAGATGACCACGTTGTTGATCTGACCTGGTATGGGACGGTACTGCATAACATTTGGCTGCTGTACCTGGTACGAAACATACTGGTTGTCGTCGCCTTCGGGGCGAGCAGATATTACTTTCTGGTCTGTCGAGTATGGGTTCTGGTTCTGGGTCGTAGGTGGATATGACTGATGCGGCTGCATAGCAAATGGCGACGGCTGGGAAGGTGCGATTGGCTCTATAAGATTTCCCTGGGAATCGAAGCCTTGATTCTGCTGGTAATTATTGGCAACTGCTACCTCCTCCTCAGCTAGGTTGTTGAAAATTTCACTTAGAGTCATCGTTGGTTTAGCAGCCGATTGCTGCTGCTGGGCCTTGTTATTTTTCTGGCCCAGTGTATGGTAGACATCCGCCGGGTCCAGATTTGGAATTTTTGTGCTGTCAATAATTGGTGTCAATGCTTGCGGCGTGGTTGAGCTGGAGCCAAAATCATTGCCACTAACCAGAAGTGGTCGCATGCTAGGGGTTGAATACATTTTGGCGCTAGTCGTTGGCTCTGTGGGAAATATGTCGGCCTGTGGCGTTGGATGATGGGTCGTAAATGTCACAGCGCTGCTAGCTTGTGTTGGCTTGGGCTGCTGTTTAGGCAGCTGTTGCTCCGCTATGTTATCAGTCGAATTTGGGCTGCTCGTTGAGGTTGTACTGTGCGTATTCTGCTTTTTTGTCGGCACGAACTTCTTCCGTGTGGTACTCAATCGTACTGGCTGACTCGTTGTCGGTACGGATATGGGATCAGGTCGACGTGTGGTGGTTGTTCGTTTTGCTGTCGTCGTTGGAGTGCGTACTGTTGTAGACAACGTGGAGGTCACAATTGGTTTTGTTGGGCGACTAGACGTGGATGCTACTGTAGATGTTGAGCTCGATTCTGTGGGTGTGACGGGCATCAGCTTTGTTGTTGACACCGTGAAATAATTCTCGCTGTGGTATTTGGGCGCCATCGGTGTTACAGGCGCTACCACCGTGGTCGGTTTCTTGTTAGTTATGTAGTTCTTATTGCTGCCTTGGTACTTTAAATTGGCATACGAACTGGAGACTAACGGGTATACGAACTTTGATGAGGAGTACTTGACTGGCAGATTGAGAAAGTCGTGAATGTTCGGAGTAGAGATACCGTTAAGCACAATTTTCTCTTTAGAGTTAAGAACTTCGTTTACCTCTGGCTCGATACCAGCAGGTTTCTTAGCAGAGAAATCCAACTGACCCGAAATCGGATCTTGCCTCGGGTAATAAGGTTTTCCATCATTAAAGATCTGATTCGGTAGAACATAACTGCTGGAGATTACGTCCTCCTCGGCAGAAAGATCAACACTGCGTGCCTCCAATGGCAACAGAGCAGAAGATGTTTGCTCCGATGCGATTGCCTGACTTATTTCGCATATAAGCATGAGTAGCCCAACGATCCAACATCTGGCTCTCATATTGCAGATGGTTTTGATAGCTGCAAGTGAAAATATTTGAAACATGTAACTACTATCAAAAGAAACTAATTCATTAAGGATGACGTAGCAAAAATGTAAACAAGAGTTTCATATTAAACACAGCTCGCAATTTTGTCAACATATCTTTTAATGGTAAATTTCACTCATTTTTATAATATTGTGTTTCCATGCTTATAAGCTATAAATATACTCGTTTAAACATATTTTAAAATAGAATTAATAAACACTCTCGCCTGACTAAACAGTTTAGGATTATGCCACCCCTTATGATGCCGACTTCAATTCAACTAGAGCTCACCAAATTTAGTAATGGCACTTCCACTCTTGCGGAGCGGCTGTCATGCTTGGTTTTCATAAAAACCAACAAACAAACAAACAATCAGCAAATAAAAGAAAAAGTGAAAATTGTTCAAATAGACGCTGCTTAGCTGGTTCATACGCGTTATAATACTCTGCACCCATGAAAATGGTAAGCCAGGGTATACTTAAGATTAAGATGTGCAAATGTAATATTATATTATATATTATAAAAGTTGTGATGACAATATATATATCTCTCTCTCTAACTTTAATTTACTGATTTAATTTGCACCTTGCCTCTCTCTTTCTCGGTCGCTGCCTTTTTTAACCCCTCTCTCCTTCTCTACCTCTTATTTTATATCCCTAAATATAATTATTTTACTATAGTTTATATAAGTATATTACGGTTTTCTTTTGTACCGGACTATCGTCATACATCATACAATTTCTTTTGGACTATTCGTTTTTTACTGATTTTTCGGATAGAAAGCAATCTGAAATAAATGCCTGTATATATATATATATATACAAAAAAGAGTCACCGTTTATATTGTTTAATGTCCGTCTTGTCGCCCATCTGTTTATCAGTACAATCGCAATACAATTTATTTCGACTCAGATATATATACTTAATACTTGGAACTCGGCTGATATACACGTGTATTCTTTTAAGATAAGTTTGACTACATCCACCACACCTGCTAGAGTCACCAAATGGAGTGGAGTTTTAGAAAAGAGAGAGATTCTTGTGAAAAGACCCCCTCGTCGATTCAATAGCTGCTATTACTTAATGGATTGGCGAAAGTAATATTCCTTCTTCGTGATTTATTTTCTAGTTATATTGTGCAAGTTTAGCAGAGATTTGCTCTTAAAGCCAAGAAACAATTGTGGCAAAACAATTGTCAACGCCAACACATTACCACAACTGCTCTGCATGCCCATTAAGTTGGGACAAGTTTTATTGCCGCTTTCAGCGAATGCAAGTGGTGCGTTGAGATACCAATCAACTTTCATTTAAATTGTCAAACGAATAGTCAATTATTCTCAAAGACCATGTCTTGCAGTAATTGCGTTTTATGCAAGTATTTCTACAATCTCACACAAAGATAACTAAAGAAGCTATTTGCATTGCCTTAATATCGCAGATCAGAACACTGGGTAACTGGGTAAATGGGTCATATTTTAGGAAACTTGTTTACGTTACAATATGTGATACGCACCATCGATAATGCCGTCGACGACAACCGTCTGACAGTTTCTTCTATCGCCATGCTCGGTAAGAACAGGAAAGAATGATAAAGTTCAAAATATTCGACAGGAAAATACCCTATAAGCAGATCTAAAGTAGTCCACTTTTATGGGAATCAACACTCATTCATCTGTGTTTATTCAACTAGAAACTAAATACAAAATATGCTGTCTCAAGTTCGCGTTTAATGCTGATCAGAGATATACCATGGGCGATAACGAATTGCGATTTTATTTCATTACATCATACAGTACATCATACATTTACTGCTTTTACTATAAATATAATAACTTTTTCATAGCCGCAAGTCAATTTTGGCTATAAGTATTACTTATTAATTGTCTATTTTAGTATTAAATGCTTTGCTTACTGTCCTAAGCAGCACACAGCGCAAATAACTAAGAAAAATATATTCCTCTCAAAACATTTAAGTGCACAAATATGTGATACCCTTTTAATAATGTTTGGGCATACAGGATATCAAGATATCCACGGAGCAAGAAATGAAGCCAATTCGTTCGATTTTGTAAAAAAAAAAAATGTTAAAATACACGAAAAACCTGTCAATAATGCATTCCTCAAGACCAGTACATTTTGTCAGCTATAGGGTGCAAAACGAAAGACTTAAGACATAAACTTGTATGCTTGTGTGATAATCGGATTCTTTAACTATATATTTGATGTATGGATATGATTATATGTGTGTAATATCACTGAGAGCCAAAAAGTACGTTTGTACTCATTTTGGATTAGCTGTCGCTGCATTATATATTAAATTATTTATTTTTTAATGCACGCATTTGGGTCACTGTGCTAATTGTTTAAAATTATTATTCAATATGAAGCACCGACAAATTATACGGCCGGCCGTTGCAGGGGGAAACGTGTAGAAAGTGCTAATTTAATTAAATTTAAATATTGAAAAGAGTTATGGCTCGCCTTGGCATTGCTCGCTCTCTACTGGTCTTTTTTACGGCATGCGCATATGGCTAAAAGTTCGATGAACTGTTTATATTTGACCCATTTTTCACGTATTGCCGAAAATATGTTAAATTTGTATAATAATTATTGACCGAAGATGCAGTTGAATTGCATTTCAACTCAGTTGATTATTGTATCGCAAACATAGGAATTTATTTGTTGATATTAACAGAAAAAAGAAACTCAATTTGTTAATGAGGATAATCATATAATATTCCTGCAGCAAAATGTAAAATACAAAACATAATTACGAAAATGTTCAGACTTAAGCGATTGTTAAGCAACAAAAATAAAATAAGAAACAAAAAATCACAGCTTAAAGAAACCTAGGCGCTTCGCAAGCCTCAACTTTAAACTGCCGCTTGTGAGTTGATTCATCAGGCGGGGCCCCAGCTACCGCTTTTCTACATTTCTTTCAACGGCATTGGCTGCAGCTGCAACTTTCACTTTTGACAGTCAAAATTTCTCGCTCAACTTCTGACGCGGTGCGCACACGCAGACGACTTTATGCTCAACTTTAACCACAAATATAAAGAAAGAAAAAACCAAACAATTTTTATATAGTAGAGTAGCCAAAACTAAGTGGCAAAGCCGAAGTGGTAAGACCCGTAAAAATGTAATGAAAATCAGTGAAATTTATTTTGTTCTTCGTAGCCGCACAATGCTCTCTTATCGGCCGCACATATTTTTATTTTTTTGAACTAACGCCGGCCAACCAAACCCCTGCCAAAACAAACCCCATTTATCCAACCGTCTAGGCATTAAAAAGCTGACCCCGTTAAAGACCGAGTACTGGAGATGGCGAATGCATGCTTCCACTACGCTGCTACTTCTTCTTCTTTACCTTCGAGAATGGAATGTGGACAGTTGTACAAGCCTGGGCCTGGCCGAGTCTCCGAGTATTTGTATAATGTTTGCGTAGTAAACATCTCAATTCCCGTTGTTACTGGTCATAACTATTGCCAATGAATTTTCATAAAAGTATTGCTAACTTTTTTGTACTACATAATCAAATTATATATATTTTTTTAAATCAGTCCCAAAAAAGTTAATTTGTTTCAATCAGAAAACAAAGGACCTTACTGTTTGGATTTAAAAACCCCTTTTTTGTAACTTATTTTAAAATTTTTTTTGTTAAAAATCGGTACTTTCTGTAAGGCATTCGTTATATCGTCTGCAAAAAATAGCAATCAAAACTCATAAAAACAGAAAGCAAAATACAGAAAAAAAGAATGCCAAAAATTTTCACTTTTTAAGGTGCGTAATCAGCCTCGGTCATTCAAATTTACATAAAGACATACACTTGCAGAAATATACATACTCATACAAAGATATGTATGCATATGATTTTTATGGTTTGTCGTTGTGGTTGTTTAAAAGCAGGTTTCGGCTCGTTGGTTGAAATTTTTAAATTTGGCTTGGGACACTGCTGTGAATCATTTCTAATGTCTATTAAAAGCAAGAAAAATCTGAGAGTCTTCAAAAACTTGAATGTTATTAAAAGGAGCCTTAAAATGTAAAATTCAGAAATGCATTATGCCATAAATCAAATCGGCGTAAATATTGACAATGTGGCTATAAGAAATAAGTTAGTAAGTTATGTTTTTATTCATATATCGAGACAAGAAAAATCCAAATTCAAAAGAAATGGGAAATTGTCTTTGGTTTGCGTAGTAAAGTTCGTGTTGGTACTCATTAAGGGTTAGTCACAGAGAAATTATAAGCTAGCAGTAATTAAGTGGCCAATCAAAGCTACCACAATGAAAACTACAAGATCAAGGGAAAGAGTCTAATTGCTATAAGAGTGGACAAAACTATTTAAGCCAAAAGCCAAATAAGAATGCTTGACTCACTAGATAAAATAATGGTCCGAAATGTTCCCACCCGCCAGTTTCTTTATGCCCATTGTCCATTTACTCAACTCAGGTTAAATTTAATTGAAAGACCTCGAGCTAGCCAAACAAACATCCAGAACTACATATATGTGTTCATTTGCTCAGATTTCTATCATGAAATTTGGCTCAGCGCTGTTTGGACTTGTTGGTACTTACGGAGCTTGTTTATGGTCACTTGACTTTATGGCACATAGCTGAGTAAAACCTACATAACTTGGCTGACTGAATTGATAAAGATGCATTTTGCTTTGCACTTTGCTTCAATTGCAGCTAGTTACGGCTTGGGGCAATGCACCAAACTGCGATCTAATAATCTAGTTTTAAAAACAAATTATTTTGTTTATTTTAAGAATGTCTACACCGCAGTAATATGCAACATCTTTCGCGTGCATACCTCTACATCTCCATAATTTTGTGTTGTATAACCAAGGAAATACAAATCACGCAATCATCTGGGACTTTGCTTAAGACTTATATGTACATGAATTGAAGACATTTCGCATGAAGAATAAATATATACAATTTAAACTGTATACGCGTTAAATAAACATAAGTAAAAGTAGAAGAAATCGTTACACATTTAAGGTCAATGCGACTAAAAAAGTTGACAAAAAAAAAAAACACAAACAAAAAATATAGCACTAGCCCGACCAAGCAGTGCAATATGTATTAAGGCCAAAGAAATGGTACAAAAACAACGTCAACTAACATACATATAAGAGATCTAGATTAATAAGTCCCACTTTAACTATGAAGAACAACAAAAGCAGACAATTTAATGGCCACGGAATAAAACGAAAGACTACCGACAAAAACTTGGACAATAAGCCGCACAGTAAAATTAGAGTGTTATTTGAGTAATTTGCGTTTAATTTTGGCATTCTTTCACAAAATGCGTTTTAGGCGTGGTATGCGGAATACTAATTAGATGAAACTGTTCAAACCATTTTCATATGTGCCCAATATTTTTGGTCATAGTGATTTCACTAAGCGATTTATGGAGTTATCCCTTTAGGATTACAAACTGCTGGCTATCCTTTGGTATAGTTTATTTCGTAGAAAATCCTCTTTCGGTGCACCTGCGCTGACCGAACGCTAAAATCCATTGCAGAGCGAGAGGGCACAATTACCGTTTGCGATTTCCGATGTCGACGGCATACAAAATTCAATTTATTTTCCAACCACGTCTTTCTATCTTTCGTCTCTGCCGCCTGACAATTTTCTTTTCTGTTTTTAGTTGAACTCGAGCTCGACACACACTTATACGTCGAACAAATTTTAATATTGTATTGGTTTCAAGCTTTACATTTCTCTTACACGTATATAATGACTCTATGGTTGGACGACGCGTCTGTTACTGTTAACGGTCTCGCACTGAATGAAGAATGAAGCACCGATGCGTCCAAAGAAATTTTATTAAAAAAGAAAGCACAGCCAAATGAATGGCTCAATGAGCTGTACGCCAGCTGCCCTGTTAACAGAGGCTGTTAAAGCTGTTGCTGTTAACTTGATATGTAGACTTAAGTTGTGAAACATTTGAGCAAGCTCGGTTATAAAACCGTTTTTAAACTTCTCATTACAAAATTTAAATAATAAACTTCAAAATTAATATTTAATGAAAATTTGATAATAGCTTTAACTTAACTTAACTTAACTTTTAAAATTCTAAGCAGGATCTACAATGTATGCGAAAAAAAAACATTGTTTATCTTGTATATTTGTTTCATCATCAAAGATCATGATGAACGGAGTATGCATATCCTTTATATATGTTTATGTTTGACTTTAGTGAAAGCGGAAATTTAATGGCTGTGTTATAAACACATTCATATCTTATTCATAGCTACGCAAACCAACGTAACCGGAACTAGACCAGAGTAAAAAAAAAAACGAGCAAACAAAACATTAACAATTTAATAAGCAAAGAAAAGCGATCGTCAATTATATTTGCCTTCATTACACACAAAAGTTGATGGTACACACATATTTAGGTGCCATCAGTTTTTTTACCTTTGCTCGTTCGTTGCACAACCGTAATGTAAGTAATTTGGCAGTAAATGGCACCATGGTTTTGGGCTTAAAATTTCTGCAAATGAAATAGGGTGTATGTGCTGGTATGAACGATATGACAATAGCAATATGTGAATAATAAATAAGGCTCGCTAATTTATTTTTGCATTCTAAAATTAAATTATAAGCATAAACTAAATTATTTTAAATTTTTTAGTTTTTTTCAATTGATGAGCTTTTCTGCTGGGCACTCAAAAATTGAACAAAATAGTACGATAAATTCACAAACTAAATGATAGGCCGCGGTCTTTCAACAAGCCTGATTAAACGGATTTTCCGGAGACTTATTCCATTCCTTCATCAAAAGTTGCTTCCACTGAGACATACGCAATGAAGGATTTTCAGCTTTAATGCGTTGAAGATTATTGGCTTCGAATGTTTTATAGGCCGCTCTCATACGTTTTTCTGGATGCTTGTCGTCATCATTGTCTTTGACACTAAAAATAGATAAATGTATTTGCAATTTGTTAATTAAACAAAACAAAAAGTAACTGAATTTACTAGTTGCACTTACTTAAGCACTGCCAGGGCCTGGTCAACGTTTGTGGCAACATTGGCATCAGCTAGAGATCTGTTCAGATTCTCCTCAATGGTGTTATGCTGTAGTACGACACGAGGGGCCAAGGGCTTGTTGGCTTCATTGATTGCTTCCATAACGCGTTGTTTCTTTTCCAGCTCTTCTATTATCTGTTGACGATTAATTTTAGCCAGCGGCTGCTTGCGTTGGGTGTTTATTGAGCTAAGTTCCTGATCCAACAAAGCCTTTGATTCCGCCTTACGACGGGCAGCTTCAGCCCGTTTTTTTTCTTCTTCTTCACGACGCTGTTGTTTTTTGGCAAGATTCTTGTCATCGTCGTGCCACAAACGGTCTTCGGCTTCCTTTGCGTTGCGTTCTTGGATGGCCTTCTTGTTGGCATCCTTGCGGTCACGAGCCTCGACTGCTTTTGAGTTCATTCCCATCTTCTTAGGCATGTTATGTACTTTACCAACTGATTGCTTACAAAAGCAGTATTACCGCGTTACACTATGTCTATCTGATTTTAGAATCCACTATCTTTCTCAACAACGACAAAATTTTGATAACATATGGTAACCAGGGCTTCATTCTCGTTTTTAGTATTTTTTTAAAAATATTTTTATCCAACAAACGGTCACACCGATACTTGAATTCATTTCAATTACCAATTAATTTGACAGATGGTCATACCTTTTAGTTGTATTTTATTTACAGTTCGTTTGTCGTAAATAAGTCGCTATGGAGATATTAAGAGCCGAAATCGCTCGCAAACGCAAGTTACTTGAGGAAAAGCAATTAGTGGATGATAAAAAAAAGTTTTTTCGCCGCGGCGACCTCAGTGCTAAAGACACCGAGGAAGTGCTACAAAAAGTGGGCTACAAGAAACAAGAGCAAGTTGTGGCGCCCAGGGCTGAGGGCGCATACAGTTTTGTAGCTGATGGACAGAATATTTTACCTCGCCTAGAAGTTATACGCCGACTACGTGAGCGCGGCGAACCCGTGCTTTTATTCGGCGAGACTGAGCCGGAGGCATTTGATAGATTACGAATCTGCGAGATTTCACAGCCCGAAGCCAACCGTGGCTTCCGTAACGATTTCCAGGAAGCAATGGAGCAGGTGGATGCAGCATATTTGCAGGAAATGTTTGCTAACACACCCACTGCCAAGGAGGATAAGAAATCTGACTTCACGGAGCTAGATGAATCCATTTCCTGGGAGAGTATACAGGCGATGGCTCAAAAAATGGGCCGAAACAAAGACTATGACATGGACGTCATCATAACGCTTTTAACATTTCTGCTAAAGTTGTGGAACGCACAGATCGCCAGCTACACCAAGCATGAGAAAATGTCGACGAAAGTGAAAATGACTCGCGTCATTTACACACAGACGAAGGAGTATGTGAAGCCATTATTTCGCAAACTGAAGCATCATACCTTGCCCGAAGACATTCTTGACAGCTTACGGGACATATGTAAGCATTTGCTGAATCGCAATTACATATCAGCAAGTGATGCCTACTTGGAAATGGCCATAGGCAACGCTCCATGGCCAATTGGAGTTACCATGGTGGGCATACATGCCAGAACGGGCCGCGAAAAGATTTTCTCAAAAAACGTCGCTCATGTCATGAACGACGAAACACAACGTAAGTATATTCAGGGACTAAAGCGGCTGATGACCAAATGCCAGGAATACTTTCCAACCGATCCCTCCAAATGTGTCGAGTATGTAAGCAAAAAGGATCGTGAATAAATATATGTACATGGGTTGATTATATCACCGACTTTAGTATATTTAAATGGAACTGTTTGTCATATATGCCTAGAGAGCTTTACCTGTGAAGGGACACACTCAACGGTTTAGATCAACTTATTTTTTGCCCAGCTCAGCTGAGCGTAATGACGACTTTTCCACAGCATTAATAATCGTAGCTCTGCAAAAGAAAATGCAATCTAATTGGTTTTTCTCGCATTTTAAATTGTGGGTTCTCTACCTGAGGTTTCCCTTTTCCAGCTCGTGTACGCCGACGATAGTTGAACCACCAGGTGAACAGACCTCATCGCGCAGGACAGCTGGATGTTTTCCGGTCAAAAGCACCGTCTTGGCGGCGCCCAGTAATGTCTGTGCGGCAAATTGTAATGCCATTTGACGTGGAACTCCCTGTTTCACCGCACCATCGGCAAGGGACTCAATAATGGTGTAAACAAATGCTGGTCCGCAGCCGGTCACACCAGTGACTGCGTCGATCATTGGCTCTGGTACTTGTTGCGCCAAGCCCAATGAGTTTAGCATCAAATGAACTTTTTCTAGATCCTGGTGTGCGACATGCGCATTGCCAGTGTAAACAGTGCATCCCTCTCCTACCTGCATAGAGGTATTGGGCATTGTTCGTATCATCTTCAGGCCCGACATTTCTATGAACGCGAATGTCTCCTCTAGCGTTTGTAGGGTTGTGCCTGCTAAAACTGAGACGAACAACTTGTTTGCGTCTTTTGCCGATGGAACGTGTTTGTATTTGAGCTGTGCTGCACAAAGCCCCAGCATATGGGGCTTAACGCAGATGAAAATAATATCTGTGTGCTCCAATACGTCGTTGTTTTCATCAGTTGTAGTTGCGCCTAGTTCACGCCAGCGGGACAGATTTTCAATATGCGGTCCCGACACCATCACCTGGCTGGCCTTCACAATTCCACCCCGAATAAGGCCGGAACCAATCGAAAATGCCATATTTCCGCCTCCAATAAATCCAATACGCTCATCTAACTTTGCCATCTCGCCGGTTTACAGAAGCAAAAAAAATTGACTTATCGATTGTAAAATTTGTATAATTGTGTGACCAGGCCTCGGAAATGAAAAAATGCATAAGTTCATATTTATAAAATGAAGATAATATGTACATAATAAATCGTAAATAACTGTGTATGTTTTTTAGTTCACGAAAAAAACGTCTTTTCAAATTTATCACTAATATGTGTTAATTCGATTTTATTTAATATTAAGTGAAAGGGCCATAAAATATGCCATATACCGTGCACGTCGTAAACCAAAAATCCGACTAACATAATATATATTAAATATCATACAGAGGCTACCTCACAAATCACAAGCTATTTATAAAAGGTTTTTAATAAAAATATATTCCTGGGCCTGGATATATATTCGCATAAAAGTCGACTTTTAAAATCAATTAAACTGTATTTTTATAATAATAATGCCCACATGCACACAGTTTAACAGACAAGACGGACTTGACTTTGACTAAATTTTAATTGAAAATTTTGATAACAAATTTTTTATATTGTATTACTTTTTTTACTTTGTCCCATTTTGCCTATGAAAATATATGCACAATTAAAAAAAAGCGTTTTCCAATAAAAAAATATAAAATTTTTATTACAAAATCAATCTTGCTTTAAATGCGTAAATACACGTGTTATTATTTCATATAAATTAATAATCAAGGTATAAAAGACGTGATTCATATGTTTATGGACGGCATAAACACTTGTTGATCATTAAATACCCTTTCTTAACATTATGTATACCAATATGCTTGTATACGTTAACTTTATAAAACTAATGACTGCAGTTGTTGCCTGCTTATGTACAAAAATAATTCAATCTTATCAGTTTCTTCTTTATATTTTAAATTATATTTACACATTCTCAATATGATGGCAACAGCTCATTCAGTTTAATTATCTATAACATGTTTGAGAATATACAGCTACTTAAATTCATTTAACGCAAATGACATACTTATGTACATAAATACAACATTAATAAATACACCCAATTTGACACTAATTTGCAGTTAGTTTACTATTCATAGCTCAGTTGTTGTCTCCACCTCGGACCGATCCAAGTCGTTTAAATATGAGAAGCTCATTTGTCCGTAGTCTCGCTTACCAAAAATCACATTTTCATTGGTGAAACTCATATGATTTTGACTCACATCGCCGTTCGATCTAAAATATTGGAAATGAATAACTAATGAATGAATTAAGGGAGAGCAAATTGAATAAACCCACCTTTGAAACAACGGATTGGCTATGGGCAATTCGCCAGCGTATAAACGATTATTTTGCTGGTTATTCCGACCCAGAGTGTTGGTCATGAACTCGTTGCCCCCGTTCAATGAGGCCATTCCGCCAAAGGTATTGCCGCGTCTACCCATCGTACTGTAGCCATTGTTCTGGGCATTGGCATTGGCCAAATTATTCCGGCTTGAAGTGTCATATTTAAAGCCATCATTCTGATATTGATTGCTATTATGGTGCTTAATACGCCCCAAGGTTAGGGTGGCTGGGTTGCCATTTCCGGGGATGCCCAGGGGATTGGCATTGTTGCGGGAATTCATTTCTAGTGTGCGATTAAATGTATTCTGACGATTGTTCAGTGTTAAATTGTTGTTGTTGTTGTTATTGTTGTTCATATTATTGGCTATGTTATTGAGATTATTATGGCGAATGGTGGAAATTGTGCCCGTGCTCGCATCCAAATGCGCGGGACTCGACTGCATTTCTCTTCCGGCACCGCCTCCGCTATTTTGCTTGTGTGTTATGTAGCTGACATTGTCTAGAGAAAATGCATGGTTCTTTGCGCTAAAATCCAGTTGTAAGTCCTCGTCACCATCCGGTGGCACAGCCATGGCCAGCATTTGGGTTTCATACTCCTTCATGTTGGCCACAGCATCGCCAGAATTTGCGGCTTGCGAGTTGACGATCACGGGATCGTAGCGTGTCGGACTTGGTGCCGAGTAATGCCGAATGCGCTGCTTGAAGTTCTTATATCTGCGTAAGAAAATAAACATTCAATAGGGAATTTCTAAAGCATTCAAGAACTAATTACTTACTTGGACCATGATATGCATATGTATATTATGCCGGCTGTACCCAAAATTAGGATAATAATCGATATGGATATAAGCGTGAAAGAAAATACTTCATCATCGATGGCAATTGCTGCTTTGATCTTTAATGAGTTATTTATATTAGTATTGCCTCCTAGATCCCCCACTTTGTTTTCTTACCTTGTGCACTTGCTCTTTTATCTGAATTGGTGCATGGATGCCATCGGCATTGGCTTGCGCTAGATTCGATGCCGCCAAGTTAAGTTCCGAGCTCACTGATGATTCCAGCAACGTCTCTTGGATGATGCTATCGTTACGGCCTAATAGCTTCTCCGATTTTGGATCGATTAGATAAAACCAGACATCGGTTGCCTCGGGATTCTCCACAACCGTGCCGTTGCTCGTTGCGTATTTCCGATTGCTAATACGTTCAATACCGCTGACTAAGCCATTGGTCCTCACCTCAAGCAGCTCTTCCAATGCCGTGTAATGGTTCCGAATCTTATTGGGTGCGGCATTAGAGAAGGCTAGTGCCAAACGGTTTACATCTGTCAACTGATTGACTACGATGCGGGCTCTTGTGTGATGCGAGCCCTGCTCCTGGGCATCATTATCACTGGCCTCCACGTATAATATCATGGGGAATTTAGCATCATTGAAAGGTCTTGCGGTGCGCAAAGTACCCGTATCCTCAGCTAACATAAAGTATGTAGAAGGCTGCAAAAATGCTTGAGTTAAAATCTTGTGACTAAACAGAGTCTAAGTAAGTAGCTTACTAGATTTTCGTTGCGGAAATCCTCTTCATCATAGAGCTTGTATCTCAGTAAACCAAATTTACCCGAATCCCGATCGATGGCGCGTACTTGCAATATGGTTGTGTCAACGTCCATTTCGGGTGTGACAACCGCATAATAGGTCTCATTCTGGCCGTGGAGTCGATTAAATATGAATTCTGGTGGATTATCGTTCTCATCTTGCACCATGATATTGACGGTGGTGCGGTCCTTACGTGGACTTACAAAATACCTCTGTGAGACCAGTTGTAGCTCTAGTGTATACGATATTTTATTTTCAAAATCCAAGGGCTTGGCAAGTATCAGCAGGCAACCATAATCTTCGAAGCTCAGCTCAAAGACGCCCTGCTCATTCCCCCGAACAAATTCGCACTTAAAGTTTGGTGCTCCCTTCGATGGTTTCTTGGAGTTCATGATTTGAATTAGCTTCAACGTGCTATTCACGGCCGTGGACTCAGGCACACTGAGGACGTAGCTGTCATCACCAAAAGCGAGTCCGACTGTTTCCGAGCTTGTATTTGGGCCTTTTTCACTGTTCATCTGATGTTCCATTAGGTTCTCTTCGTCGGAATCAACCAACAGGTGGCGGACAAACACTGGCAGCATGGCGACTGAACTAAGCTGCGGTTCCCCCATATCATAGGCTCGAATGTCCACCTGGTACTCGGTATCCTCTTGCTTGCGCAGTTCATCGCGAATACGCACCGCTCCTGTATCGGGATCAACTTGAAAATATTTCAACGCCTTGCCACGCCCTACTAGCTCATACCGAATCACATTGCCCGGTGGCGTTCCATCGCCATCAATTGCGGGCATGGTCGCTATGACTGATCCAATGGGCTGGTCATCGTTGACAGTCACCGGACCCGGTACTGATATGAACACAGGGCGCACATCATTGCGGTCCTCGACCTCGACCACGATGCGCACAGTGTCGCCCAGTGCATCTCCGTCATTTTCAATGGTTCCGATGATCAACTGATGTTGTTGCTGCGTTTCGTAGTCCAAGCCCTTTGTTGTTCGAATTTCGCCCGTGTCAGGGGCGACTTTAAACAGCTCGGCATCGCCTTTTCGCAGCACATATGTGATTTCTGGTATGGAGTCCGGATCATGGGCTTGTACTGTGGCCACCAGAAAGTTGGGCATGTTTTCGGGAATCCGCACACTGATGCTGGCATCATTGAACTTTGGCACCTCATCGGGCAGATCGTGAACAACAACTGTCACACTTGCCGTACCCAGACGAGCATCGGGTGCTCCATCCTTGGCTGTCACCACAAATTTGTATTCATTGAGGCGCTCGAAGTCTAGCTTATCGGAGGTGCGTATCTCGCCAGATTTATTATTGATGGAGAATGGTATATCCGTGGGTATTGAGTATGTTATCTCAGCATTGACACCCTCATCCGCATCTGTGGCATGCACAATGCCCACAAAAGCATATTCCAAGCCCTCATCCACATGGAACACATAGGGCTGGGTAAGCTCATCAAACTCGGGATTTTTATCGTTGATATCGGTAACCTTAATGTTTACTGTGGCACTGCTGGACAGTCCACCGTTGTCTTCCGCCTTCACAATTAGCTGATAACGTGTGAGGCTCTCGCGATCTAGTTTCCGTATAACCATAATAACACCACTTTGCTGGCCAACAGAGAATTGCCTAAGATCGTTACCGGATATGATTGAGTAGACAACTGGATCGTTTTCCGGGTCATCGGCATGTACGACTGTGACCGTTGAATTAATTTCGGCACCCTCACTAACCTGCACTTCGTACAGCATGTGTGTGAAACGAGGCGGTTTTGTATTCGGGCCCGGTGTTACGGTCACCTCAACAATTGCCTGGGAGGAGAGCCCACCAATGTCAGTTGCTTGGACCGTTATGCTGTATTGCTCTCCGGCGAGCAAGCGCCCTTGAGTTTGAATCTCTCCGGTTTGTTCGTTGATATGGAATTTTTGCATACCATTATTGGAGACATGGTATATAGAATAGGCGACCACGGCATTAGCACCCTCATCAATGTCCGTTGCCATCATTTGTGTCACCAAGCGCTGCTCGTGCTGATCGCCGGCTGAAATGGAAATGGGAGCAACCATCGCCAATTTTGGAGCGTTATCGTTAACATCACGTAAATGTACGGTTAGGCTCAGTGGGGCACTGGCCGCGTTTGTTCGGGGCTCCCGTGCAACAACCTGAAACTTGTAGCGTCCTGGCGCAGGTGGATCACGGTCTAAGCCTTCTTCGTTGACAATCAGAACTCCATTGCTCGTCACATTAAATGACGGCGTCGTCAATTCATATATATAGTCGGGCTTTGGATCGTCCTCACCCAAATCATCGTCTGTTGTTCTTAATGAGATTGGTATTCCATTCGCATCCACAACTTTCGTGCCGATTGCTGAATTCTCATCAACATATCCCACAATATCTGTGGACGATATAACCGGTGGATTTGCATCCACTGGCTTCACAGCAATGGTCAGCTTAGCCGTCGTGAAGCGACGTGGAGCCGGTGAGATCTCTTCGGCTCGCACTATAATATCATATCTTTTGGCTGTCGAAGTATCAACAGCTTTAATCTGCTTTAAAACACCCGTTTCCTCATCAATTTCGAAGTAGTCCGCGTAGTTGCCGGGAATACCACTGGCAAAACTATAACGTATTCGCGAACTTATTGTGTCCAGATCCACGGCCTGTATTCGTTCAGGTAGAACATTAAGCACACCTTGTACCGAGCCTGCAGGTACGGACGCAGTGTACTCAGGATTAATACAAGCACCATCCAGTAGCACGCAGCCACGGTAGATAAAAGACGGGTCCATATCATCAGAATCGGCTATGTTTACGGTCAGAGTTGTGGTCGAAGATAGTCGCTCCGCAACATTTCGCGCACGATCCTAAATACAAAATTAAATGGTTAGTTTGATAAACTTCATATACATTAAGGAAAAAGAACAACAACAAAATAAATAAATAAAAATATTTAAAATGCAAATTTACAAAACATTGCATCAAGCCAAGTTTTATAATGGGACTCGGACTCAGACGCAGACGTCATGCGTAAAATGTTAATTTATCTTAAAAGCATCTCCTCGATCTTATATTTTAAATACTGAAATACACATTAAATAATCTTATAACTGCCATACAATTTTACTTACCGATGCTACAATGGTCAAATAAAATCGTTGTATCTTTTCGTAATCCAACGTCTTGGCCACTGTCACCTGGAAATATGGGAAAATTAAAGCGAATTATATTCCATTCTCAAATTTACATGTTATGTGAATCCTTTGCTATTTACCTGTCCTTGGTGGGGAAATGATATTGCGAAAGTTCCGAAACCATCGGCGCTAGTCAACTTATCATCTTCGGTCGTGTTGATATTGCCCTTAACTATAAAATACTCGACTAGACCATTTACGCCAGCATCTTTATCGAGCGCCTGTATATTCCGATACACAGTCGTTCCTAAGGGTGTGCTCTATAATAAAAATAGATCATTTAATTATTAACATTAGTAAAAGTTAATTTTAAATAATTTATTCTTCATTATCTTAATATGCTGATCAATAATCAATAAATAACAAAAAATATAAAATTGTATATCTTCGGCACGGCAAATATTTAATACCCTTGTAGACATTTGCCTTACGGGCTTGTACATATGTGAGAGAGATATGAGAAGCTCATAAGTGCTGAGTTTGATGAAAATATCTTGCCATTCAAAAAATTATGTACTGCAACAGAAAGACGGACCTAAGCAAAGTTTTGATAGCTTTAAAACTGAGATACAAGTCTGCATAAAAACAGCAAGACGGTCCCGGCTTTATAATCTCGACTGTTGATGTGGATCTAGAATCTATGTACTAAAATATGCTTCTATGCATTACACATTTCATCACAAATTTATAGTAGCCTGTACAAGGGTATAACAAGAGGGATCTTGTCGAGAATGCCCGACTAAAGGACACTCTGTAGCAAAAAACTGATCTTTTTCAATAATGTAAAAAAAAACTTATAAAATTGTTTAGCGTATAACCTGACTCTATAATTTCCGACATTGGCACCTTCATATAGACGGACTGACGACATGACACGATTAATTCAGCTCATTAGCCTGATCAAGAATATATACTTCATATGTTCTAAGCATTTGACATTAATATGCCAGCCCACATATAATATATCTAAATATATATTTGACCTAAACTTATATGCCCGTTTTACCCAGTTTAAAAAGTTGGTCGGACCTCGCCAAAGGCTATAATTAAGTTTAAATAAGCTTATGCGGCTGTTCATTGAAAATATCGGTGGATGCCTCAAAACCTTAGAACTGGCCGCAAAATGTTGATAAATTTGACTTATAGATGAAGAAACAATAAAAGTTACGATAATGATTGTTACCGTTTTATGCCGTGCAAATATGCTAAATACGATGCGCCGGAAACCAAAAATGGCATGTTCATGAAAATTAGGTAGCCACGGCTATTGCTATTGCTATTGTTGTTAGCCTCTTCAGACTGTGTGCCGGACGGCTTCAGGCGGCACCGCTGCTGCAAAGCCAACGACAACAACAGCAACAACAAAAACAAAAAAACAAGCTGGGTGACAAAACGTGCCCAACCACATTGAGATGCACCAAAAGTGCAGTTATATAACGGGCAAAAAGCAAACAGCCTTTTACATTTAACTATCACAATGTAGGCTTGTAAGTAGTATCTGTAAGTATGTTGGCCCCCTCTGCAGCCGGGCAGCACACGAGCCGCCTCTCACCCTCAGGGTTACCTGTTACTTGTGCCCCATCATTCCGCCTGCTGGTCGCGGGCGAGAAGTTACTTAGTCATCGGATTGAACTTTTCAATTGGTTTCGCTGCCTGCATAGAGCACAGGTATATTAAATGGCAAGCGATTGCTATTTGGCTTGTACTTAGTATGCGATTTTTGGCAAGGTGCAACATATCGAGGAATGTTTCAGGCTTCGATACCCACAGGAATGGGCCACAAGGCTGTCACCAATGCTTATTGTGACAGAAAAAATGTCTATCAATAAATGATACATTTTCCTGATCAGCAGGAAAATATCTACCCATCTTGGCACAAGAATCCAGACCCAAATTTTCGTAACGTATGATATTTCTTGTGCACACACATATCTTTCTGAGCACTGCACATTTACTTTTCTCTAAATTGTACGCATGGACAAAAAATCACAACTACCAAAATTGATATACCTGGCTCCTACAATCTCTTAAATCACGTGGGTTTGGAAATCGGAAATACCTTTTTGATTTATGACAACGGATTTGATTAAGAAATTAATACTTTATGGAATCCGAGATGTCTCGTTTTCTCTTTCTCTTTCTCTTTCAACAGGTTGCTGTTAAGACATTTTTGGTCTCAGCACTCACTAAAAGGAAAAACTTACATCTGTTTTAAATTTATTCAAAATCAAGTTAAGAAATGTGAAAATTGTACGAATGAATAAATTATTGTGATGATTATATTTATTCGCACTGTATGTACAAGTACTTGCTATAGGAGAATGTAACTTACCTCTGGTACAGTGATTTCATAGGGTGTGTTCATAAAATGTGGTGCATTGTCGTTGACATCGGATACCCTTACAATGATCGGAATATTACGCTTCTTATTTGACTCGCGGATGGTGCAGGAGACCTAAAACACATAATTAAATTGCATTTTTTAGTGTAAGTAATCTGCTTGCATTTCACCTGCAGACTTTGTTTTGAATTAAAGTTCGCAGCTTGTTTAAGGTTGAGCCAGAAGTCGATTGCAAAGTTTTTTGATAATAGAACCGGGAAGTTCTTGAAATATCTACCGGCTGACATTATTTAAAAATTTTTTAACTCCAAAAGAGTTTCATTTAAGTTCATTTTAATAGAAACAAAATAACTTATTTAAAGAATATAAGCCTTAGATTTAACGAGTTTAATCATGTTATTATCTAAGTAAAAAAAAATTATAAGGGCTTTCTGAGAATTATATACATACTTGAACGAAGTTTAACTTACGTAACTGAATAACTAAAATTCAATGCAATAACTCACCTGGAACACAATGTGACTAAGATTCTCCTCATCGCGATCAAGTGGCTGAATCAGCTTCAGGCTCTTTCCCTCTAGTAGGAAAGTCGGATGTCCCTTTGGAAAGACTAGATCGAGCGCAATTTCCGTGTATGGATCACCGAAAATAGGCAGCTGTGCAGGTATTGTACTTTGCCCAGTGACTGTGGATGATTCAAATAAAATAAATAATTACTTAATAGACCACATATTTGGACTATTGAAAACCGAAGCTCAGTCAGAAAGACAACAGTCAGAAAGACAACTGACAAGAAGGGCATGTTTGTGTCGACATCAGCCTTTCACTTTGTCTTTGTGACTTGAAGTATTTATATGAAAAATGTTGGGACAATCATTTTCTACTCAATTATTGGAAAATGTGTGCAGACACACAGAGGAACGGAAACCACGGATCCAATTTCCACTTTTCAGTTTTCCATCGTAAGTGGATCGGCCATGTTTACGTCTATCCATTGAAGTTCAATTTTTGTAAAAATCAAATCAACATGTGTGATATTTAAAATATTCTTGCTGGAATATTTCTTCTACTTTAAATTTAGCTGCGTCTAAAACCATTTGCCAGTAGGTATTGCCACAAAGCCGATCGAATATGTATGTGTGAATCTGTGTCTCATGCGATGAGAAACTACAGTTGCCCTTACCATTTCTTTCCTCTACTTAGTTGCTGTTATAATACGCGTATTTAATTAGATTTGATTGCCTAGGAAATTGTAGTCGATCGAACAATGCATTCGATATTCCAATTATGTTATATTTTCTTTCATGTAAGTGTTCTGAATAGTTACCTATTCAGTATATAAGTATATATTTATTTATTATATAAGATAGCCTGCATAATCTAGATCAGGGAGTATTGATTTTACATATTCCTTTGTATACATTCATAAAATTCTAAAATACTTACAATTCCCTCGACTCTCTTCTATATCCAGTATTATGTTAGTTTGGCCCGTTTCCACCTCGCACATTTGGGATTTACCCAAAACACAGACTGTATATTGACAGCTACATAGCAGCAGAAGAAGTCCCAAAAAGCCAGGTCTCAGAGGTGTGGTCGCTTTGTGTGAAATCATTTTAGCTGCAAGGAAGCAAAATAACTTAGCAAATGTATTTGACGATATATAAACCAATAAGCTTATGTTATTATTTATAGCACTTGTATTTTAATGTTTTATTTTAAAAATTGTTGATTATTGCAAATGCACAAGCAGCGTGCCACTAAAATGTGGTCTGCATAAATACATATAAATAAATACAAGTTTTCAGTTAAAGAAGGTACTTCTGCTTAAGGATATAGTCAAAAGCAGCTGTAAGTATGTATTTATATATGCAAAAAGGTGGCTGGCAGAACCTTAAATGGCATGACATCAATATGCAATAAATATTTAACTTGCCCATCTTGGAGCTGTCTACGCGTTTTTCTTGTTGCCCACTTTAGAACTGCCCATATAAAGGCCTTTGGGACTCGAAGATAAGATTTTGTAGTCTGCCTATTCGTGAAAAGCGCACGACACAACATTGCCGAGCTTCAACAAAAAAGAACGTAATCTTGCGTATATTTCGTGGTTAACTTCACACGGAGCTTCTGAGTAGTTGGCAACACATAATTGGTCCAACATAATCATGGTTTTATATCGTAATTTAACTACATGTGTGGTGGTATAAAATTGTATAACGCATTATTCTATTGACGATGTGACTGTTGACCCTTTGCAGCACTATCTAATTTTATTAATATTATTATTAATTAATATTACTGTTAGCAATGATATTTTTTATATAAGTACTGGCTGTTTTGGTCTAAGGATAAGGCATCAGCAAAGCCCGGGATGATTACACCGAGGACTATAGATTATTGTCTAGATTATTAATTAAAATTAGTATACATACATGATTAGATAGATACATGCATATAAATATATGCTTATATATATATGCTTATATATATATGCCTTTAAATATATAATTTACTAGCGGGTATAACCCGGCCTTGCCCGTGGCACGTATGTTATAAAATCAATGTTCTAAAAAAAATTTTGAAATAATTTTGAAACTGATCGGACGGTAAACAAACAAATTTCATATAAACCTTTTCCGCTAATTTACCACTGTTGCAGGTGGAATTTCCCAAATCGCTGAAATATGTATTCATTAAGTTCTTATGTAGAGCTTTGAAAATAAGTTTGAAGCAATTCGCACAAAAAATCTTTGAGTCGCATTCCACCCGAAAAAGTTTGGATTTTGCGAAAAGTGTGAAACACGTCTCAAATGATTTTTCTTATAGATCTTTGGAAACGAATTTGAGCGCGAAACGTCACCCACCAAATCTTTGACCTCCATTTTTACCAAGGAGGAATGGATTTTCCTAAAAGTTTGAAACACCCCTCAAATGAATTTGAACAAAGGTCTTTGAACATAAGTTTGAGGCCGATCGGATGGTAAACAGAAAAGTTACATACAAACGTTTTTCGCGATTTTTCCACACTTGCGGGTGGAATTTCTCTAAACCCCGTCTTAACGTGCACCTACATCACATAAGGTAACTACAGTACAAATTTCAGTTTTTTATCTGTTACGGTTTGGGCTTTGCGTTGATCACCAATCAGTCAGTCAGTCAGTCAGGACAAACAATCTCTATATATAAAACTGTTTGTCCTGACTGACTGACTGACTGACTGATTGGTGATCAACGCACAGCCCAAACCGTAAGAGCTAGGAAGCTGAAATTTTAACTGTAGCTACCTTATGTGATGTAGGTGCACGTTAAGACGGGGTTTCGGGAAATTCCACCCGCAAGAGTGAAAAATCGCGAAAAACGTTTGTATGTAACTTTTTTGATTAACATCCGATCGGCCCCAAACTTATTTTCAAAGATCTTTGCTCAAATTCATTTAAGGGGTGTTTCACACTTTTCGAAAAATCCGTTCCTCCTTGGTGGAAATGGAGTTAAAAAATTTGGTGGGTGACGTTTCGCGCTCAAATTCGATTCCAAAGATCTATAAGAAAAATCATTTGAGACGTGTTTCACACTTTTCGCAGAATTTAAACATTTTCGGGTGGAATGCGACTTAAAGATTTTTTATTGCGAAGTTTTTAATTGTGTCCGATTTTCTTCAAACTTATTTTCAAAGGTATACATAAAAATGTAATGAGTACGTGTTTCAGCGATTGGGAAATTCATATTTTGAAGAGGTTGCAAAATGTGTTGCACATACAGGAACTGCGAATTTCCTGGTCGGACATATTTGATGTACAAATTCTCGTCTTAAGTAGAACCTACCTAAGCAGCGTATATTTCAAGATTTGTGCAAAATTTGTACTTATATATTTTAAATCTATATATTTTTTCATTTCAGACTTTTGACAAGCTTCGAATTCCGCTTAAACCGGAAAAACAGTATATATGCCAAAGGTTAAAACTGAGATGGTGTGCACAAATTTTTCCATCAAGGCCTGAAGCATTTGGAGGCACCAATTTTTTAATTGACCACGTGTCGCGTTACGTCTGGTATCATATTCTACATTTCAACATATAATATTCTGACTGTACAAGTCAGCACTATCAATTCAAAATTAAAAATGCATATGCACTCAAAATTTAAAAGTGTTGGACTGTGTACGTGCATAAACTCAGGAAAAAAATAGCTCGCTAATATTAACATTTGAGACATGTATACACACCGCGATTTAACTTAAAGAACAAAAATGGAAAAAGGGAGCGACTAACTTCGTCAAAATACTTATGCCTATGAGCGTCGGGGTTATCGCTTTGATCATGCCAAAGTTGCCTGCGAGCAAATGTGCCGATTAATTTGATTATTCGCGACTGCGACTGCTTAGCGTCTAATCAATTGGAAGAGTGGTTTTAATGTAAGCTATTGTAATCTGCGTGGAACGTATGTTAAGTATGATTAAGAGAAAGGCAACTGAATTAAGAGAGCACGCTCATATAAGGAATTATCGCATTAGATGTATTTTTAGAAATCATTTGAAATACAATTGAAAGTAAGGCAAATAATCTAAACTAAATAAAAGTAAGTGAAATTCTGTAAAGCACTTACACTCCTCGACACTTGAATGGGATACCCCTTAAGTTTCTATTCTATCACCTACTGCTCCCAACCCAAGCATGCTAGAGACAATTTATTTTTATGAAACTTCGTTTAATTGTTGTTATTTAAAGTACTTACAAAAAGTCTGCCTTGAATGGCGAATTCTGATTATTTTTAACATAAGGAATATTTAATTTTAGGGTACTTCTGGTATAATAGATTTTAAGAAAAGGTTGAATAGTGTGTGATGCTCGTTTCTGCTGAAACCTTAATACAATTGGTTCATTTGACATGCGGTTTTGAGATATGCGGTTTTATGGGATTTCTGTGCCAATATCTTACATGTGAAAATAATTTTTATTTTTATTCATGTACACTACATGTGAACATATAAAAAAATATATACAATTTATTTCAATTTATTTTTATTTTTGAAAAGATTATTAATTTACTCCTGGGTAACTCCTGAGTTATATGCACATTTATATTTTTACTGCATGGAACACAGCTTAACCGGATTTTTGACGAAACTATGCGTTTGACTTCAATCAAGTTTGACACGCCGATAAGGACAACTTTCACTTGATTTATCTTATAAGTGGGATGAGCACAGTTAACCGATAGACAAATAAGAGCTTGATTTATCGCATACAATGATAAACAGTGTTAATATTCGTTAAACTACCTGGTTAATAGTATAAATAACCACACCGGCAGCCGATTCATTCAGGATTTGAATAGATTAAGGTTTTCACTTTTGCCAACATGGCAATGGCCGATCAAACACACACACACACACACACACACGCACACACACACACAAACACAAACACACAGGCACCCACATCAGTTGGCCAAAAATCATTTTAACCTGCTCAAAAATCTGCAAAACGTGCAGCACAACAACAATACTCTCTGTGGCTGTGGGCCTGGTTGCGGGCAGTAAAAGTAGTGTGGCAAGTTGATGTTGTTCGTCTGGCGACTCTCTAAGTCTCCATGTGACAGCAGTTTATTTGCAAACGCTTTTCAACACACGTGACCCCAATTGCCAACCCCAACATAATATAGCTTTTCCCAAGCGAAATTGAGGTCAGCTTAGTAACCCAAGACGTCCTGTAATTGTAATCGACGTAAATGCCGTGTTTCCGAATTATAAGAGTGCAGACGCATTATAAGCCAACACAATTATTATAATATTCTGATATTATTTGGTTAGAACGATGTCTATTTTATAGCTGAGCCGACGTTTTGATATTATATGTTAATTTTATTTACTGATCTTTTGGATTCTGTATGCGAAGATTTCACTTTTGATTTATTTTTGCATTTCATTTCCTGCATTAGCAGGTTTGTTTGGATTTTGGGTTTTAAATATAGACATATAGGTAATAGAAAGTATAATCTCTTAAAGTGCAAATAAAGAATCGATGATTTCATCTAGTCACACTTTTAACTTGAAAATTCATCAGTTTTTTATAACTCTTTTACCTTTTCAACTTCTTGAATTATAATTTATTTCACAAAAATGAGCACATCATTGCAGAGCTTTATATAAGACCTTCATTTGCAGAGAAAACCACAATATTTAGAAGGTGTTTTAGTTGATTAATAATCCCACGAGCTGTTGCAGAATGCCAGATTGCTTTTTCTTTATTATTTTTACAGTTCGTTTTGTGTACACATAGTTAAGCTGGTGGGGCTAGCGCGAAGCTCGTATTAAATATTTGAGGTAAGCGCGCACGACGATTATAACACCTGAAGACACAGGTAGCTGGCGTGGAACTGACTTTGGCGACCATGGCAGCACCGCGGCAACAAGTGGGCGCTGTGTTCGAAACGGTTAAGAAATCTGGTTTGTGTGTGTTAAACTGGTTTTGGTACTTGTTTGGCTGGTGATACAAGTAAAAGGATTATGTACAAATAAGTATGTACATGCGCATGTGTGTATAAATGTGTGCGCTGTGTGTATGTAAATATATGTTGGAAATAGTTGATAATAATAATTCTATTATAAGTGTTGGCAAAGAAAATGTAGTTCATGTAAGAAGTGTTATTAATTAACATATTATATTTGCCACTTAGCACTTGGTAGTAGTATCCACAAAATGTTTAAATTTTCTCTAACCCTATTCACACGTCGAGGACTGTTGGCATATCTGTATTTATTCGATCGCGATCTGCAGGTGCAGCGTATAGCAAGCCAATGAAATGCGAACTCTAACCGGTTAACAGTGTCTGTTAATTTAACATTCAATAAACAGCTCTAACTTGTTATAGTTATGTTGTGTTAAAAACCAGTTCGGACTTCTTCTTCTTTGTTGTGGTTTTTACAGCTCTCAATTGTTTTATTGGTTAGCGTTTTTTCCCCCCTTTTTTTATTCTTTTACTGCTTCTCTCCGCTGTCGACCAAATTTTTAGCTAAACTCTGAGCTCCTACCTTTTGCCGCATTAAATGAATGAAGTTGCAGAAAGGCAGGTTACTTCCATTATGTGTTGTAACCTGCGCAGAGTCCGTATTCTGCTGCTGCCAGTCTATTTAATGCTTTGCTACATTTTCTTAAAATTGCCAAGCGTTTGGCTATTGCTATTATGCTGCACCATTTGCATAAATCACAGCCACATGATTGTCATTAAACACCTGTATTTATGTATGTATATGCATATGCTACTTATAATATGTTCGTATGTATGCATAAATGTATGTATGTATTGCAAACGGTACCAAATATTTGCACGACAAGTGGAGCTCGAAAAATATGCACATGTACATACATATGTAAGAAATACCAAAAATGGCTTAACTACAATTCAACCATGCACATACATACATATTACGCTTGTATATATGCATGTATTTGTTGTATTATATGCACACATTGAAAATTCCATAAAACGTATTCCTATAGAATCCAGTTATAATGTTAAAAAAGCGAAATGAACTACGTAGAAATAACAGTACTAATGATTACCCATCGCCATTAACTACTGTAGCCAATTTTGTGCTTTGGTATTTTAACTTGAGATAGGTCTTTAAACTTACCCGGCTTCCCCTGAAGACGAAGCCATGGTTATTTTTAATCGCATAACAAAGTTAAGGCAATAACCGGATCGATGCGCAGGTGTCGATGGTAATGCAACGCTTAAGTGTCGCAATCTGACTAAAATAAATGCGAGGAGCATAAAGGCATTTGTCTAGGTTACCTTATCACTTTATCGTTAGATTATGCTGTATTTATAATAAATGATATACCAATTGCAGGCTTAAGAGTAAAATTTATGTAAATTAAGCTGTTGCGCATGCCGTCCACGGTTGATAAGCTGTTTATGTGTCCAAGCGAGGGTAAGTGAACACGAGAATAAATTTTCGAGTCCCAGTCAATGTATTAATTTAGTATTGACTTAGAAGAAAGCCAAAGAAGACATTGTGAATTACTAACAACCTTACTTTGTCTTTACGCTTCATTCCCGGCTGCGCTGCAAAAAAATTATTTTCAAATATCGCCTTTCCATGTAAGACTCAAAAATGTTGATGTTGTTTTTATTCTTTGATTATAAAAATAATTTAATTATAGGAATATTTTAAAACATTGTAGTAATGTGTCAGCCGAAGTCTTTTTATAATTAATTACAATATCTAATATTAATAATATACTTTTGTTAGTTCATGTGTAGGAATAGTACCCAATTCGACAAATATTTTATCAATTGCAATGAAAAATGCGAGAAACAATCGTAGCTGCCTCTAGCAGACAATTTTGCACGCCTCTTGCTGTAGCTGAATAATCCTTCGGTCGCATTCAACTTACAATTCGATTTGAAAAGCCTCGCGCACATAATGACCACTGCCAGAGCACGGAGAGCAATCAGTGGGCAAAGATCAATTACATACAATGGCTGCATTGACGGTGACGTATGTTGTGCAGAGGCTATTAACTTTGCTTAATTGAATTAGATTTCGTGTTGGGATAAATGAAAGACACCCTACTGTAGCATGTTTGATGCAATTAATTGAGGAGCAATACACCCACTTCCCATTCCTCTAATGGGAAAATATCGAACATACTCAGAAAGCTTCCACTATTTGAACGCTTACTCCCTAAAGTGAGAATGTACTCATATGTGTACCCAACTGTACATAGAGTATACAACAGTCGAATACTCTCGAATGAAGAACATGCTTGTATGCTATTTAACTTGGTTAACCAACACCCCGATCGCTGTTTGGAGTAGCAGGAGCGTATTACTTGTAGGAGTTTGCATGTTTTAAAACAATTTTAATTGCCTTTGCGTGTTTAGTGATGTTTTGATACGTTTACTTCCATTATGCGTATTTAGAACAGCCAATAGGTGACTTGGGAAACTAAAGCCAGTGCTTTTGTTTTACTTTATTAAATGGATACAATGATTTGCTGTGAAACTGTTTGTACTGCGCACACTATTGGCAAAATTACTTTTTTTTTTCAAATTATTAACTAGATCGGATTTCAAAATGAAGTCAACTTAAATTAATGCTAAATTGACATTTCCGTCTGAGTTGTGCTCGGGGCTGCAAAACAAAAAAAAATACGGTAATGAAAAAATGTTTTTTAAACTTATAATTTCCGTACATATTCATATACAAGTTTATCTACATCCTAGTAATTTGTGTTTTGCTTCTGAATCTTCTACAAATGTTTTTTTTATAAACCAAACCATTTATTAGAAAAATATTGTTCGCTTCACCTTTTTTAAAAGTAACAACAGTTGTAAAAGCTAGAAAGACTAGAAAAGCAAAATAATTATTGTTTTGTTTTTCTTTTGACATTAATTCTACTTAATAATAACTACAAATTCATTGGATAGTTAATATAAATATTTACATTTTTATTTTGAACAGTGGCATAAATACTTCTAAAATAAGGTAAAAAATTTAATATTTGCCGTCAATGCGGTCATGAGCTCGGCTTATTACGTTATTTACGACGTATGTAAATCGAACTTGGTATTTTTTATATTTTTTGGGAATCCTCGATTGCCAACTTATCGTCCAACCACCACAGCAAACAACAGCTGTTCATACTAAATTCAAACGATGAACAAAACGTTAAATTTCTAGCTTCACGGATCAATAGCATATTGATATTTTAGTGCTGAAAATAAATCCGGATTCAGATCCCGAAAAGACATAATTATAAAGATTACGTCCTCGCCGTTTTAAAATTGTTGATAGTAACGTTTTCAAAAGCAACAAAAATTCGGAAACTAAGTGCCATCAAATAAAACGACTCAGCCCTGCAGGGACGACTCAAAATTGTACAAGTAGATATAATAGTGAGTGAAAAAAATAGAAAGGCATACGCTATCAAAAATGAGATGTGACGATGGGTGATAACCTTTAAGGAAAAATATCGTGATACGACGGTCAGCGATGTCGGCAGCGCTGCTAGTAGAAGTGTGGGGAAATTAGACAAAATATATTTTCACCATGGCAAAATGCAGGCAGCTGTTTAAACTTTAAAGTCGAAAAACTCATAGAGACGTCGGCTACGGAAAAGCACACTTCAGAAGGATTAACTGCGCGGAAATGTTGTAAGTTACTTAATTTATAAGTATACTTAAGTATGTAAGTGTGGAGTATATATTATGTGATTATATGGCCAATAGGTTAGCTACGGCTAGTGGGGAGTGGGTCATTCGGCTTGCCATGGTGAAATAGTTGTCAGGGGCCTTGCCGGACGCAAGGAAAGTTGATAAGCTTGCGCTTGCAATTTTTTGCTATATTTGGATGTGGATCTAAGAACGCACGCGCACCGTATTCGTGTTTTCAAAAACTGCTCTTGGCTGCCAAGACGACCGTTACCACAAAATCCCAATTTGTGACAAACAAAGACAGAATAATTTAATGCACAACGATTAATAAATGAAAATTGTGGCCCAGAACATTGGTTTTCTTTTTGCCCAGGTGTGTCCACTGTGGTAAAAAAGACGTCAAAAGATAGTTAGAGTTTAAATGATCATATTATAAATCAAGATGCTATTGATGGGAAACCCGTAGACGTGTACAGGCAATGCATCTAAGTTGACAGCCCCATTAAAAAAGCCCCGATGAGCATGGACACTGTGAGGTCTCTGAAATAATAGAGATTTTGTAACTTCCAAAATGCGCAGAGCAGGAGTCAAAGCAGAAGTCAGTCTCAAACTTTGAATAAAAATTCCGTAAAGAACAGTGAGAAGAATGTGAATAGAAATGATTTTTAATCTAATGTATATATAGCACACAACGATTGGTAAAAAAAATATTTTATTTCTTAGTTCTCCTAATCAAACAATGCGCATAATTATACCTAACGTTCATTGTACTGTAAAGGTCCTTTAAAAAAATTAAAAACAAAAACAACCACAAATGTAGTTTGTCTATAAAAACAATAAAATGCAACAAATATTTGTTACATAAATGCAGGGATATTTTTCTTTTGGATACCGTAAATTAAGTATTATTATTATTATTATTAAAAATTTATAACAGTTTCTTTGAGCTGGATTTGTTTCAATTTAATCGAAAAGCAACCAATATGATTACAATCGGTTATTTTTATAAAAATTATAGTATGATTGAGGGGGTTTAAGTATGATAACATCCAGCTTACTGCATTTATCTTATTTCATAACAATATATATATATATAATATAATAATTGAATACTTTTCTCTAGCTCAAACCATTGGCCCCAACTTAAGCCTCTGAAAAACCGCCTTATGGAGCAGCCACAAGCGGCAGTCAAGTACGTTGTGGCGAAAGATCTAGGAGCTATGGACACCCTGCTAATGCATAAAGATTGGATCGCGGCGCTGATTGTTATTAATGGACGCCGTCGTATTGCCACCATAGACACGGGATCGACACGAAGCATTATCAGCGCGGACATCGCCAGTAAGATCAAAACAGATTCGAATCAT